ATGAGACTTATTTTTCATTGGCATTTTTTAGCCATTTCTTCACCTTTCCAAAGGCGAACTGGAAGGAAGTGTTTTGAGTGTTGGTGAGTCTCTTGTCAGACAAAGTTTTAAAGTAATGTATCCAGTAGCTAAAGGAAGTCATATCATCTCTTTATTCTTTATCTTTAGTAAAGTTATATGGTTATATAACTGATTATTAATAGTATTCTTCCAAGAAGTGAAGAATGCAAGATGAAAACTTGATTTTTTTCCAGCCAGAGAAATATCTGTGTAACCATAAAAATATTCATGGAAGATTAGTTTTGTCAATGCTGTGCATTGTGGTTGAAAGAGCTTTGAAATTAGACAGATTTAAGCTCTGTGGGTCCTTGAGTAGGTTACATTAGTAAAAAAATAATAGCATTTCTCCATGGAACTGTCATATAGACTAAATGAGATGGCATTTACAGTAAGATGAATAATATAATAATAGATAGCAAATATATGGAGAAAATAAATGTCAGCCAAAGAAGCATTTGGGAGAACTATTTAGTCCCAGCATATTTTCACATTTTCATTTTTCTATTGGGGTATAATTTACAGACAGCAAAATGTGCATGATTATGTGTACAATTGAGTAAGTTTTCAAAGTAGATATACTTATGTCACTCATGCCACGATCACAATATAAATTGGTTCCACTACTACAGAAAGCTTTTCTTATTTATGCACCTTCCCAGGTAATCCGTGACACTCTCCCAACCATGATTCTTAACTACTTTCTTTATAGATTAGTTCTGTCTCTTTTGGAACTTTATATAACTGGACACCCAGTATGTATTCTTTCATGCCTGTTTTTTTTCCCTATACATTGAGTTTTTGAGATTTATTCATGTTGTCAGTATTTATCAGTATTTCCTGGAGGACTAATGACGTTGAACATATTTCTCTGTACTTACTGAGTGTTCATATATCTCCTATTTTCCTTTGAAAGTTCCTGCTTATTTTTAAGTATTTAAAAAAAAAGACTATGGAAGCCTTTTGCTTATTTTTATTAAGTTGTCTTTTTACTATTGAGTTAGAGGAATTATTTATATATTCTGTATTCAAGTCCTTTGTTAGATATGTGTATTGGACCATTTTCTGAGTCTGTGACATGTCTATTAATTTTCCCAATGTAGTCTTTTGATGAGCAACTTTTCTAATTTTATGAAGTCTACTTTGCTAGTCTATTTTCTTTTATAGTTAATACTTTCTGGATCTTAAATTCTTGGCCTACCCCAAGTTCATGATACTATTATTTGTTTTTTTCTAAGAGCTTTGTAGTTGAGCTTTTACCTGCAGATTTGTGAGCCATCTTTGAATTAGTTTATGTGTATTTTGAGGTATAATTGAGGTTTTTTCAGTTCATGCTAGTGTTCAGTTGTTCTCATACCAATTATCAAAAAGACTTCTTTGGTTTACCCATTAGATTGCATTGACACCACTGTCAACTTTAAAATTGTCAGACTGAGCTAGAATCTCACCGATTCCAAATTCCTTGGGGAGAGAATTTTATTTTCCCAGCTTGGGTTGGTGTCTATGGGACAATCTAGTGTGGCAGTTTGGATGAGGATTAAGGAAATCACATGATATGAAAAAATGGCCTATAAACCTATTCTCTCCACCAAGAATGGCATTGTATCACCTTTTTTTTCAACGTTTTATTTTGAAATAACCATAAATCCACAGGAAGCTACAAAGAAGTCTACAGGGAGGTACCATGCAACCTTCACACCACTGCCCCCAATATTAATTGTAGGACAATATCAAAACCAGGAAACTGCTCTTGGTACAATCCATGGAGCTTTTTCAGATTTCACCATTTATACATGCATCTGTGTGTGTGTATGTGTGTGTGTGTGCGCATAGTTCTATTCAATTATGTAACATATGTAGCCTTTGTTACTAGCTCAAATAAGACACAAAAATGTTCAATCTGCACAAGCCTCCTTCATGCTTCCTTTTATAGCTATAGCCGTTCCCCCAATCCCTAAACTGTTAACCACAAATCTGTTCTCCATCTCTGTAGTTTTGTTATTTCAAGAAGGTTGTATAAATAAAATGTTGAGCTGGTAACTTTTTAAGATTGGCTTTTTCTCTCCCAGCATAACTCCCTCGAGTCTCCTCTGAGTCATTGCATGTGTCAGTAGCTGTTTTGCTTTCTTGTCTCACTGCATAGTACTCAGTGGTACGGATATGCCACAGTTTGCCAGTTTGTTTAACCATTAGCCTTTTGAAGGACATTTGTATTATTTCTAGTTTCCGGCTTTTTAAAATAAAGTTGCTATGAAAATTTATGTACAGATGTTTGCATGAATATAGATATTTATTATTTAGGATAAATTTCCAGGAGTGTATGATATAGTAGGCAAAATTATGGCTCTCCAAAGATGTCCATGCCTTAATCCTGAGAACATGTACATGTTGCTGTGCATTGCAGAAGGGACTTAGCATATGTGAGAATTCATGGATCTTGAGGAAGGGAGATGTTCCTCGATTATATTCATGGGCCCAAAGTAATCAAAAGAGCCCATCTAGGAAGGAGGCAAGGGGTTCGTGTCAGAGATATTAGAAGATGCTACCTGCTGGCTTTGAATTTAAACTATAAGCCATGGAGTGCAGGTGGCCTCCAGAAACTGGAAAAGGTGAGAGACAGATTCTCCCCTAGAGCTTCCAGAACAAATATGGCCCTGGACGTGCTGAGTTTCAAGTCACAAGGCCTGTTTCCCACTTCTGACCCCCAGAACTGTTGATGATCAAGTTTTGTTATTTAGGCCAGTATGTTTGTGGTAATTTGTTACAGCATCAATAGAAAACTAATATATATGGTTAGTGAATTTTTAGTTTTAGAAGAAACTGCCAAACTGTCTTCCAGAGTAAATCTCTCTTCTTTCTCAGATCTTACTTGCTTCAAGAATCACCACTTATTCTACCTTGTTCATGAAGCCTATTCTTAATTCATTTATTAAATATTTTTAAATGCCTTTTAAGTGTCACACATTGCTCTGAGAACAGTGAACAATGCAAACAAGGTCCTTGCTTTTATAGACATGTTTTTATATAAATTCTAGCAAGGGGATAGTAAATACATAAACATAGAAATCAAGATAATATCAGATAGGAAGAAATGCCATAAAGAAAATGAAACAGCTCTAGTAGTTGCTTTAGTTCAGGTAGTTGGAGAAGGCTTTTCTAAGACGGGAAATGAGATTTTGAGTTGAGATTTTAATGTTGAGAGGACCCAGCCACATAAAAAGGTGCAGAAGGAACATTCTATGTAAGGGCAACAGCCTGAGAGCAACTGCTAGGGAGAAAACCGGAAGAAAGCCCATGTGGCTGGAGCACAGTGAACAAGGGTTGGGGATTGTAGTTGATATTAGATAGATAGGCAGCAGACAGATCACTAAGGCTCTCATAGGATAGGATAAGGGATTTAGATGTATCCATTGTATAAGAAGAAGGCACTGGGAGATTTTAAATAGGGTAAGAGCAAGATCTGATCTATGTTTGAAGATGACCACTCTCATCGCTGTAAGGAAAATAGACTGGAGTGAGGCAAGAATAGAAGAGGGAAAACCCGATTGAAAGGCTGTTACATTGACTAGTGAAGTTGGTAATAGTGGAGTTGGAGAAAAGGTGACAGATTGAGGATTTATTTGGGAGCATAGTCAATAGGATTGCAGCTAGATTGGTTATGGGCATGAAAGGAAGAGGGGTTTTTGTTTGAGAACTAGAGGTTGGTGGTGTCTTTAACTTTGGATGATTATTATTTTTGGTGTATGGTGCTGAAAGGGCAGAGATGTAAAATAAGCAATCAATTTTATGTATTTGTTTGGAGAAGTTGTCAATTAACAATTAGACTTTGGTTCTAGAGATATAAATGTAGGAGTGATTAATTAGTGTTTCAATGTATGAATTTGGATGGGATTAACCTGGCAGAGTGCAGATAAAGAGAGGGGGATCAAGACATTTCCATTTATAGATACTTTTTTTAAAAAATCTGAATTGTAGCACTCTGTAAAGGTGGAGAAAGACCAACAGAGTATCACACCACAAGCCAAGGGAAAAAGAACCTTTCAGTTGAGAAGCTACAGACATTTGGGTTGAATGCTACTGAGCAGTCATTAGGAAGATAACTGAAATTAAGTCGTGCAGTTAAGTACAATGGAAGGAGGGAGAGTAGACAGGGAGTGATGATAATGATGGGCAATGGAGTCTCAACTAGAAGCATAAGGAAGAAAATGAGGTAAGTAGGGTGATAAATAGTGAAGAGATGAGGTTGATGGATCAGTAGGTTCAGTAAAACTGGAGAGTTAGATGTTGGAGTGTGAGTACTAAAAACATGGGCAGGAAGTGTTGTCAATAAAGGAAGATGCTTCAAATCAAATTTTGGAAATGGTGTAGTAATTGATGATTGAGATTAAGGTCTGTATATTCATGGGAAATATGGTGGAAGAAGGCATCCCAGGGATGAAGAAAGTCAGGCAAGTTGTTAAATATGTGGCTCATGTGGATGTTGAACCTACCAAGAACCGTAAGAGTTGTCAAGAGTGGGGGCGCAACAGAAGCCAATGAGCCAGGCATCGGTGGTTGCCCAACCAAGTGTAATCTCTCCCTCTTTGAACTTCCTTTTAATTTTGTATCTCATTAGTAACTATTGTCTTATTTGCCTTTTATGTACTTGATTTCTTTCTTTCCTTTAAATTAGGCAATGAAAACAAGGTTATTGCTATCTCCTGTAGAACAAAATACCTGTTTTATAATATAGTGTTGCCGTGAATAAGAGATTACAGTATGACTGAGGGCAGAACCATTTCATTAAGAGCCAGTCTAGTTTGGGATAGGGGAACATAAAAGAACGGTTTACTTTAAATGTAACACTCGAGAGAAATCATGTATGACAAAGATACACAGAAACAGTCAAAATTTATTTTAGAAGAGATTTTTCAATTCTTAAATAGTATAAAAATAAACAGACATTTGTTTCAACACTTGTATTTTACATAAGTTAATTTAAATACACATTCATCTGAGTCACCAAAACATTCACATACATTCCAAATTCCCAGATCCAGTCAGAAGATTGATGTTAGTAACAAATCAATTTTTTTAAAAATCATTTTTCTTATTAAATCCCTTCTACTATTGACTATTTCTTTCTTAACCATAAATCTTTTAAACATAAAATCTTAAAAATTCCCCTGAGTTATTTTTTTAATGAAATTTCATTTTCTCCCTCTGCCTAAGAGGCATGTTTTCAATTATTTACATAAATCCTGGTATAATCAGTGTTTGATTTACAAATATTAAAACCTACAGTATTTTGCACAGAAAGTCTCCTCAATAAATTATAGTTGAATAAATTAATGAAGCATCCACAGGTCCTTCAAAAATGTATTATAGGTCAGTCTAATGGCACATCCAGGCTAATGAGATACAGTGTACAGTGTACTCTGTGGGCTGGTGTATAAGTAAACCCTTAAAGGCATAAATTCCAACCATACCTATCTCAGTATAGTGGAGATGTGTTCCTGAACATTTGCTCACAAATCTTAATCCAATAGTTCTCTTGTAGTTTACATAATAGTTCAGAGAGGTAATCTCAAGGAAGATATATTGATTCTGACATAATACAAAAAAATCAATGATCGCAGCCTTAAACTCAGTTTATAACCACATCCTAACAAAACATAAATAATCCTCAATAAATTAAATTAAGTAATATACAGTACCAGAAAATGTCAGCTGACAATGAGATGTGGAAAAGAAGCATATCTTCCTGGGAACTACTCAGGGATTGTTTGGTGGTGTTTTTCACCAAGAAAGGATATTCATTAGAATAGGAATATACCTTTCTTCCTGTCAAGAAACCCCTAGAGTTCTAAGGCATTAGTCATTTTGTAGGCTTCTTCTGTTACACATAGTTACAATTTATTATTATAAAGTTTTCTGCCTTTCACTTAAAGGCTTTTTTTTTCTTTTATTACTCTTAAGAGGAGCTAAATAGTAGTCCTGAGCTGAGGTTTTCCCGAAAACTGCAAAAGTTCAGATAAGAAAATAGAGACAGAGTCGAAGAAAAACAAACTCAGATCCTAAAACTAGAAAAACAAAAGAGAAGAACTAGTCAGAGAGAGTTTCTCAGCAAAATGGCTAAAAGAATTAAAAGGAACAGTGTGCAGGTAGTTGCTTCTAATGCATCAATGAAGATACAATGGAAATATCAATAGTGTAGAAAGAAACCTGCAGTGTTTTGCCATCTTAGAACAGCATTCCAATGTTCAAACATCTTTGCTTTTCTCTTATTATAATACAAATTGAAATTCAAGTAAAAAAGATGTCAAACTCATTTCCCAATGGTTTGTCAAAAAGAATGAAAACTGGTTTTCCCTTTAACTTGAAGAAGACATCTTTAAAATGGTGACAAAATCTTCACAAGTTTGACCCCTTTCTCCTTAACAGATGATGTTAAGTAAATAAGGAGTTTCATATAAATATTAAATAATTAAGTTAAAAGAAATAGTTCATATAAATAAATAAATATGACCCAATAGGCTTCTACAGTTCAGTTGAACGTTCTTTTAGTAGTACTGTGGGATTGATGTCATCTAGTCCAGAGTGAGAAGAGCTTACATTAATGGTGGCTGTCTTGGTGAGCTGTTGATCTTGAACACTGAATGAAGTAAAAGGACAGCCCTTCACATTCTTGCAGATGAGAGATTGAATTGAGGCAGTGTTGATGATTTTAAAACCTACTTCTCCACCAAAAGTGCTAGGCTTCCAGTACTCAGGAGAACATATGGGATTACCCATAAGTCCTTTCAGGGAAAATGGTGCTCCAAGTTCTACCATGGTCTCACCAAAAATGGCATCTGGGCGAGGCTTTTCTACCAAAAGGGCAGGATACAGCTCCATGGCATCAATGTCACCATAGAGGGCTTCTAACTCCGCAGCCATTTCCTTCTCTCCTGCAAGGTGACAGACAGAGATACAACCAATGTAGAACTTTACAAAAAACACAAAAAAGTTTTAACCCTTTGCTTAATGTGCTTTGAGCTTCTCTATTGTTCTCATCTGACCCTTGATTCTTTTAAAAAGTTTAGAAATTCTCACCTGTTAGTTCTTCAAATGATTGGTAGGGCTTCATTAGGAAGCGTTTGCGGTACTCATTAAGAGACTGGTATTTCATCTGTCTGCTCTGGTCAATGGAGGCCTTAGCTACTTGTTGTACTGCAGGTGAAACATTCCTGCCACCAGCAACCTGTGGGAAATGAATTAAATTGTAAAATGTAAAGATTTTAAGTCATACTTATGACTTCTATTTTAAAGGCATTCCTTGGGTACAGAGTAGGTAAGACTGATGTTTCCAGCTGAGATGTAACCTATTCAAGTTTGAGATATTTATTCCTTTTATTTATGAGATTCTGGAAAGTTTTTGAAAACATCTATTTTTGTAAGGTCTGATTACCTATTATTATTTCATAATGGCAGACTAAAAGTTTTGGCTTTCCAAAAAATGCTAGGCTTCTTGTTTCAGGAAAATACTTTTACTAACAAAATACTTATATTTAGGTAAGTTTAAGAAAAATTATTTCAGTGGTATAAATTCCAGTTACTGAGTAGTGTCTGCTATATTTTGTTTTTCAGTAGTAATGCTTACCCTGCCAGCAATTTGCCTGCTGAATGATTCAACAAACTGGGTGAGTCCATGTCCCAGTAATATAGAGTTGTTGTAGACAAACTGTTGATAGTTGTATTCCTGGTCGTCAATTTGAAAGGTGTCAGGCAGAAGGGGATGCCAGTGGTAGAGTGTATTAAACTCAGCAGCAATTCGGTTTTGGTACTGGAATTGTTGGTTGAAAAGCAGCTCTGGGTCGAACTTCAGTTTGAAGTGATAGCCACTCAAGTGTTGTACATAGTCTTCAATCACAATCTTAATAGTTTCTCCTATTTGCACAAAATAATTTAGAACATTAATTCTTTATGATCACGATCTTCCAAGCAAGTGAAATGCAATTTTCTTAGTTCGCTATTCCTTCACTTCTATTTTTTTTTCTTTTCACTATCAAAGCAAAAGGTATATTGCCAGTCATGCTTGAGGATTGAATTAATATGAAGCGTGTGATGTTCTGTTCACTACATTTCCCCAGAGTCCCTTAAAACACAGTGAAGGTAACATGTGAGTTTTCTCTGGGGGAAGAGGCTTTTATTTCAATTATTTTCTCTTCTTGCTTACCTATCAGTATTAGCCTGCTCGTCTGGAATAACTGCTCATCGTCCCATTCTGGATGCTCTTGTTTAAGTACATCACATACTCTGTTATGTTCCCGAAGCCAAATTGTGGCATACATCATCAGACCAGGCACCAGGCCAAAGACCTCCTGGCCCACAGCAAACTGCAGATGTTCAGGGACGTGAGGCGGGTAGATCATCTTGACCTGAGTATCTTTGACTGTGGGAGGATACATCTCTCCATCAACTATCTAAAAATAACAGTAATAAATAAACATTCATAAAAAAAGACTTAAACAAATTTTAATCATTAGAGATTTTTAAATATAGGTATGTGGTGAATCATAACTAATTCTTAATATGCAAATGGAACAAACCTGATATTTCATTTTTCCATCCTTGAAAAGGCGTAGTTTATGCTGTCTATCCAAAGTTTCACCATAAACATGATTTAAGTCCACCTAGAAGATTATGGAAAATTTTTAATTTGTTGCTCTTGTAGCTCTTCCTATATAAAGTGCCTATGATATAATTTATCATTAAATAATTTGATGATTTACTTGCTTTAACTAAAAATTTGTAATAAGATACATTATTTATAGTAACAAAATAAACTTGTTTAATCATTGAAGCTACAAACATATATATATATATAATATATATATGTAATCTTCCATTTAAAGGTATTAGTATCTCATATGGTGCTTATATCATATACTTCACTATAATTATGTTTTTTAAAAAAGCATCAGAAAAATTCTTATTGAAATAAAATTAGTATCAATAAATTCAAGTTATATCATTGAAATCCAAGAGATAATAATGTGCGGAAATCTCACCTTATAATATTTAAAGTAGCATAATCAGGGTACAGATATGTTTTTGAAAGATAGAACTTTTTCAGTGTTAATATTTGAAATAAAAAACATTAGAGCCAAATTACAAATAATATCTATATATATGTGTGCATGTGTGTTTGTGTGTGTGTGTGCATACATATGTGTATGTATGTGTTTTCACTAAACCAATAAATTAAAATGGAAACCCCATCAAGGTTTTTATAGATAGGACATTTTCTAAAAAAGAAGTTGAATTATTTGGTGTGTCATATATATATATATATATATATATATATATATATGGCCTTTAATAATAGTACTTCACTATGATTTTCTATAATTCTGATTTAACTCTGTCTTACCCCATGGCCCAGTCCTTTGGTGAAAGCTGGTCCTCGCCTATGATCTGTCTTGAAAAATTGATGTGTGAAGTGCTGGGCAAAGAATGCAAACATCATATTTGTGCCCTGGGGATCAGGGATGAACTTCCTTCTTAGAAGAAATTTTTCCACTAGCTCTTTTGAATCAGGAAGCTCTTTCTTCCCTAAAAAATAAGAAAGCTAAGGTAAGAATCCATCTATATATTCAAGGAAACAGATAGTGACTGTCTGTTGACCAGGACCTTCTTCATTTACAGAAGAAATACAATTGTGAATAGGATCATAATATAAATGGGAAGTTTTAAGATATGGGGCAAATATTATTGAATAAATCTATCTATTTTGTTGAACTACTATTAATTCAGTTTTATTGAAAAGAATTTGAAAATACTAAGACAAAATGCCCATTCACTTTCATGGAATAGTTTTACATAGATTTATACTTTCAAAGAAATCTCCACAGATATCCGTAAGAAAGGAAAAACACAGACTTTTACTAACAAATAAATGATAGTTTAGGGTTGAATATTTAGGTTGCAATCCAATCCCCATTGCAATGATACATCTCTAACTGCTTCCTCTCACTCACCTTTCACACCCATGGGTGTTGGGCAGTTGTCAGCCACAGGAGGAAGAGCTCTGGTATAATAGGAAAGATTAGAAAAGGCTTCCCAGCTTTTGTAGCCATAGTGTGCATTGTAAGTTGGTGGGCTGTCAATCAAATGTGATCTGGCTGAAATTTTCAAGATAAAAAATTGTTTTACTTTTCTCATATGCAAGGCAAATCAATTCATTTTTAGTGTGAAATATGCAGTTTGAAATATTCAAACTGGAGACTGAATTTACTTGCAACAAAGTTACTCTATTTTAAAACAATTACACCCTAAAGTCTAACTGCCACTTGTCCTCAAAAAAGAGAAAAGAATGATTCATTAAAATGCATTCTCAATTAAATATACATACTTTATACAAGACTTTATGGTCTAGCCATTTTGATTTTCCAATAAGCACCCACTTACTGCATAAGAGACCTATGACAGTATTATCTGGGCATGGCACTCATTTTAGAAATAAAGTTATTTTCTTAACGACCCAAATCCAATTTAATCATTTATTTCATGGGTGCAATCCTGTGACTCATGGGCATTCAATAAACAACTGGACCACACTTTCTTCACAAATTCACAAGAACAGTGAAGGTTAGAAGATGTGTGAAGGATTGTACATAGAATTCTGACTGTGAGACAAAACTTAAACTGGATGGGACTGAGATGTCATTATTTTTGGCTACTGAGGTAGAAGACAAACCAAAATGGTACATTTAATGTCATTTTGACAAGGTTGAAAATATGGTTTGGGATTAGGCTTAATAATCTAAAGTATTCTAAGGTAAATTTTTCTTTGAGGAAGGTACAAACCTTAGAAAGAGACTTGTACTTACATGTCAACACATATTTCATGATTGCATTTCTCAGGAAGGGAATGTTATTGACAATGTTCCAGACTCCCTTGAAGTGGGTAAGTATGTAGTGCACTGTGTTTGGAGTGGGCTTCAGCAGTAATTTTATTTTTGTCAGAAATTCAGCTGCAATAAGAGAAAAAAAAAAAGAAGGGAGAGGTTAACAGGCTACGTTACAAGATGCAAGTCTGTAAAATGATCCCTGTATGTTATCCCCATCCCAAGTCAGAGCACCTGAGGTCAGACTTACGTGTTGAGCAGTTTTCACCAGAGAATCCTGTTCGGGTACAGTCACACTTATACTGGTCAAATCCTACGCTCATGCATACACCACGGTTTTGACATGGGTTCGAACAGCAAGGATTTGCTAAAGGACAGTAAATAAACACTCTTCAGTATTTAATATTGACTTAAACATCTGTTTTACTTACTATAAGGCAACTTCACAGTCATTAATTCAAAAAATATACAGGTAGTCATGGGAAAACAATTTTTATACCTGCCTCACCAAACAGTTATAATGTAGAAATATCAACTTCCTATTTTAAATAAGGGTAACAATATTCAACCAAGGAATCATGTTGATAAGCTTTTTTCTTAGTAACATTTTAGAAGTTCAAATTATCATTTTTAAGATGCTCATATAAGTAACTTCCAAATTAAAATGGCTAGATCTGGGAAATTAACCAAAATTTAGGGAAAATTTCAAAGTAAAAGCAGCTTGCTTTTAAAAATAGTTTGCCTGTATTAAAAAAGTAATCTAAGGGCTCTCCTGGGTCAGAAAATCACTAATTAGGGTATTTAAAACAATAACTCCCATTCAATAACAGTAGGTACCATGCATAAACATTTCACGTAGGTTGATCAGATCCTGTCTTAGAATGACAACTTGCAAATTAGTACCACTATTCCTATTTAGCAGGTGAGAAAAGTGAGACCCAGACCAGTTAAGTAGCTGGCCCAAAATGATCAGAGCTGGTGACAAAGTTGGGATGGCCACCCAGTTCTTTTGGACTCAAGTGGTCCAAGCTCTTTACAAAGTCACACAGCCTTTGTTCGGAGAGTATTCAGAGTAACGGGATGACGAGGGAGGTGACCCCGGCCGAAGTGCATCTAGCTGAGGAGCCCGGGTGCGGGCGCCAGGTACCCACCTGCGTGGCAGAGCGCCAGGGCGGCGCACAGCAGCAGAGCGCGGGCGAGCATCTCGGCGGCGGGCGTGGCGCTGCTGGTGCGTTAGGGCTGCGGAGCCGGAGGTGGCGCTGTGCAGAGTCCTGAGTGCTCCTGACGCTCCCTGCAAGGCGTTTGATAACTGCAGGCTAACGGAGAGAACCTTCCTTTTATTGCATGCAGACTAAGCCACGTGATGGCATGACTGTTGCTTTCCGGCTTTCCTTAACTCACCCCCCACCCCCAACAACTTTTTCTCCCCCTCTGCTTAAGTAATTGCGTAAGAACCGGGTGGGGGCAGGATTTTTACACACGCAAATGAAAAAAAATCGGAAACTCGGAGAACTGCCCTCGGTTTTCCCAGCGGGTGCAAAACGGACTGGCCCGCCCCTCGCCCGGACCTCCTCACTCCCCTCCCCAGGTCCTCCGTCCCGGCGCTCCGGTTTGCGCCGGATTCCTTTGCTTCCTCCCAGTCTTTGACCCGGCGCTTTCCAGAGCAGATCCCCTTGGTAGGAAGGGAAGACACCAGGCTTCCTCTCCGGGAATCCGAGCGGCCAAGAGGTCCCGGCGCACAGGGAATCCCCTTGTGCGCTACCGCCCGGGTGCCTGGTCCCTCGGTCTTCGCGGGTCGGGGAAGTCAGTCTGGACAGACCAGACAGTCATGTTTCACCCACGTCACGTATTTCAGACGTGTCGTGATTTTAGTGACGACCCTTAACCGAGTGTATACTCAGCACATACACGCATACCTTGAATATTTAAAAAAAGTTTATTTGTAGGGATGAAATATAATCTCTGTAGTCAGTGTACATACCTGTAAATTATAGCTAAATTGTCCTCAGCATAAGAAATACTGTTCACACCACCTCCTCTTTGCTTCCTGTTAAGAGAGAAAAAGTAAATTCGCTTCTAAAATACTGCTCCTAAGCTCTTATCCTTTAGTCAATTTGAGCTCGAGCAATAACCACTTCAGTATTTCCTCTGCTCTGATGAAAAGGGAAGCAGAGGTGTCCCAAGCCGTGCATGGATGCTCAATTTCCAAAATATCTGCTTTAATGCATCTCTTTCTCTGTGGAGTGGCTTCCATTATTTTGGTCACCAGAACTTCACAGGAAACCCAAGTGAAAGGAAGCTAGTTTTTAAAATTTGCTTTCTCTGCCTTTTCTGCTCACTTTTCTAAGATAATGATTTGTGACAGTGGGAGTACAACATTACATTTACATTTCAATTGTCTGGGCTTATTAGGGCTAATTTTATCCTCATTTTGGAGCGTACTTTGATAAAGAATTGCATGGAATGGTTGTAAAGGAGAGATGATTTTTGACTATTTTGAATGTCATCATCCTTTGCTTTTGTTTAATATCTAACTTTGGGCAGTGGTAGGGAGGGGTGTGTGAGAGTGAAATACTAAAAAATAAAATTAGCAGCAGCAAACTGGAGAATAAAAAGTTCAATTAAGTCATACACTCTTAGTATTAATGGAAAAGGATGGCAGAAAACCTGAAATAAAGCTCTGCCAGATACCTCAGTTTGTAGAAGTCTTAAAGAGAAGAGACTCACTTGGATTTTTTTAAACCATTTTGCTTAATGTACACATTATCTGATTCCATTGAGACACACAAATGACTAAAATTCCATCTCATTCAGGAAGCCTTTCTCCTCTAGTCATATTTAATCATTCCGCTTGTGACACTCCCATTTTTTTGTACTGAGTCTTATGTGGAATTTCAACTAAAAGCATACATTCAAAAATTAATTCCTTTTAATAATTCCAATTTTTCACTTTACAAAAGTAGGTTGTATCTACTCAAATCTCAAGTTGATATTTAGAACTACTAACTGCAGAGCTTGCTTACATGCCATGTAAGAATCCATACTTTGATAGTGTACCAAAATTTTACACTGTAACCCTGAATTCATTTTGAAGTCATCATTATTGTTATTCTTCTCATTAGATCATAATTGTTTACCGACTATGTATAGAAGTATGTTCTGTTGTTTGCAAAGAGACCGAATTCGAAGGTGACACAAAACAGGGCATGGAGAATAATCACATTTAGTCTACTGGAACTTTAAAACATCTCTGGTTAAACTACCTGGTTTAATCTAACTTTTATGGCACAATACAGGGAGAGAGTTCCATGTACCTATGCAGTCAAGAAATAATTGTCTTTTTGACTCAGGAGTAAATGACACTTTAGGGCACGGTTTAGAAAGGAAGCCTAAGTATAGGCTTGAGGAAAAACATGAGAAAAAATTATTTATTAAATAATTTTTCTAGTCTGAAACAATAAAACAGAATGAATAGTACATTTTGGGTTGCTGGACATGGGAGGATATTCAATGTCCCAAACCAAATCAAAATGGCTCAACCAGTTTTATGTGGAAAAGTACTGTGATTCTGCCATGGTATATCACATCATTAAAAAAAAAGGTTTTGATTATGTAAAAATTATAGGTCTCACTTTTGTATATATTTAGTGTTCCTGTGTATATTTTAGACAAATAAACATCTGTTGTGCAAAATTTCCTTAATTAACCTCTAACATTTGTTGAGAAATTCTCTGTGTGAAGGGAAAATGAGAAAGCATATAAAAATTCTTCCAGAGCATTCCATTGAGTTTTACTGCCCCCTTCTGCTGCTTGAATATTTATCAGCTTAATTTCCTCTGTGATTCTGTAAAGATCTCAAGGTAGATTTTGTATCTGATGTTATAATGTTATTAGAAATTCACGGGTGCAGTGCTCATTTTAGACTTAACTTTCATGAATGTACTGAAAAGGAATGAAATATTTATTAGTTGAAGTGATAAGCCATTCATATGAGTTAAAAGAAAATAAATAATAAAGACTATTAAAATCCAATATTCTGAATGAATTAACATTTTAAAGACATTTTTTATTGCTTTGAGCAGGGTTCTACCACACACACATGGAAGGGTGACCATATCCACTATTTCAAGCCAGAAGCTTCTTTCCATTTCCTTCCTTTTGCTCTAATTTAGTGATTCATTTAGAGAGAATGAAAATCATCCCTTGTCTTTTTCATTCATGGCATTCTGGCTAAAAAAACTTTTACCACCTTAGATTACAATTATTCTCAAAAGGTATTTTAGCCACAGAGTATGTCTGTTCCTTGAAGGGCAGAAATGAATTTATAAAATACCTCTACTTTAATCTTTTTTTTTTTTAAGCAGTGAGAAAGCTTTATTTAAAAGTACACACTTAAAGAAAGGAAAATTACTTTAGTCATTTAGTAAATCCTGGTTACATACCCATTCCTGACTACACAAGATAGGAGTGTTGAGGCTATAAACAGAAGCATAACAGCGTTGTTAATTAAAAAAATAAATCCTTGTCAAATAAACCAATGACCACCTAATGATATCCATTTCCAAAGTTTTATTAAAAAATTAATCTCCTTTCTTTTTCTCAAGTAATTCAATTCCCTGAGTTTTCATGGTTGCATATCAAAACTATGCAGATGAGGCAAAGCAGATTGAACATGGAGTTTCAAAAGGGTATAAGGTTGTACAAGAGAAAGTGCATGAGGTGAACTGGGGTGGGCACAGTGAAAACACACTCTCCAATGAAATATCAAGCTAAGGACTTCCAGTTTCTGAATCATGTAAGGAGCTTAGAAGTTGCTGCTCCATCCTAACAACAAAAAACTGAACAAATTGAAAACTCAACACTTAGATATACCTCAGACAAGTGAGGTGACAAGATAAAATGTTGCCCCATTCCCCACCACCACCAAACTGGACAGCTAGGCCATACAGAAAAGCACAATTTACCAGAGCAGAAAAAATCACAAGCAGAAAAACTCCATGGAAGCCAATACCTGGGTCAGAAAACCACAAAAAGAACTGATGAATGGCTGGAGGCTGAGTGTGGACATGTCTGAGAGTTAAAAATTCCATGGGGCCCCCACACTTTTGTGAGTTTTACTTCCTGAAGCTCTGCCAGGTTCTCCCAGTGAATATCAGAAAAAATACCTCCTTGGGGCATTGGCAGGGGAATGGGGAAAGTTAACCACTTTGAAATATGCCAGAGCTTTCTGTTCTTATCAGTAAGGCCTGCATCCAAGAGAAACTGTTTTACCAGAGCCTAAACTTCTAGGATTTTGCCAGAGCCCAGCTAGATCTAGGGGGGAAGAAAATACCTAACGCCAGCCCCCTCTAGCTACCTGTCCTGCCTAAGACACGGAAGAGACACTTGTGATATTTATAGTTCAGAAGCACAGACTCACTAAAAGACTGAGCCCTATTCACAGGACTATAGAACGCTGCCCCTCTTCAAGGCCTTACCAGCCATCACTAAAGGCTAATATACCAGCATTCTTTTCATCCAGTACACCATGTCAGCTTTCAACAAAAATTACAAGGTATAGTGGAAGGCAAAAAACAAAGTTTGAAGAGACAGAAGAGATTAGAACAAGATTAAGATACAGCAGAGATGTTTTAAATATCTTGAAAGAAGCTAGAGGGACAAAACGCCTTAGTACAGAGGAACAAAGGTAAAAATTATATCCTACTTCTCATAAACCATGGAAGTGAGAAGAGAATAGAGTAAAAAATTTAAAGTGTTGAGAAAAAGGTGCAGCAACCTAGGATTCTGTATCCTGGGATGTTATCTTTCAAAGTGAAGGAGAAAAATTTTCTCAAGCAAACAAAAATGAACGGCATTTGTGGCCAGTAGATCTGCCTTGCAAGAAATGTTAAAAGAAAGTTTTTCAGAGAGAAGAAACATGGTATGTCAAGAACTCAAAGGAAGATCATTAGAGAAAATTAAGTGAAGGTAAAATAAAAACTTTCATTTTTCTTTTTCTTAATTAATCTAGTAGATCACGGTTTGTTCAAAATAATAATAGCAAAGTGTATTTGAAAATTATAGCTTATGTGTAGGTGAAATGAATGATAGTGATATAAGAGATGAGATGGAGGAATTATGAATATTTTGTTATTATGGGGCACTTGTGCTGTCCATGAAGTGGTGTACTGTTATTTGAAAGTGGACTTAGATTACTTGTAAAT